AAAAATAATATATATATATATATATATATATAATTTATATATTTTTTTAAATTATTTATATATATGATACTGATTAATGAGACATTTATATAACGTTATAATTTCAGTTTTATTTTATCATAATTTAATATAAAGATTATACATTATAATGTGTTTTTTTTTGCTCCATAAATTGGTCATGTGCTGAAGTCATGGCTGCTGTCATCTAATATTTCGTTTGTTTGCGAGAGTTGTTTCGTCTTCCGATAGGCACTGTCACTTCCTTTTTTTAACTCTTCTTATTCTTTCTGAAAGGTTGACGAGTGTTCATCTTCTCTGAGAACCTCTTCTCTGGAGATCTCGATGTTGTCGTCGTCGAAGTCGGATACTGCTGGGACCGGGCTGTTTCTAGCTTTGCTGATGTTGCTTTGTTCACCATTGATTGGGAGTTTTCGGGGGGATTTCACATAAGCCAGGAAATTAACTGGAGCGAGACGTTTCTCCGATTTGACATTTTTTAAATATTTTTTCGAAGATTCTATCGTTATCAGATCGCTGATTAGAGTTTAGTTCAATTAAGCCGTGATAGTGTAGCTTTTTTTTATACTCACACGTGTTGTCAGGAACATGCTCTGATAAAATAAAATCTTTTTTTGAAAAGCGTTTTGAGGAGGGGGCAATCGTCTAAACGGATCGCTTTGAGTATTCCGAAAACTATTATCCGATAATCAAATTTCCATTCGGATGCTGAAGAATTACCTCTGTACAGGTTCCAGGTTAAGGTATATTTTGGAAGAAACTGCACTGAGATTGGAAAAAGAGGAGATGATACTGAGTTAGTAGACCCTGTAAGATTTAAATTTTCGTTAACTCTCCATCTTAATAAACATTTCTTAAGGAAATACAAGAAAAGAAATAATTTGTAACATTTGGAGATCCTGTGAGAGTTAGGCGCACCTCTCTTGGCGAGTGGTGGCCATTTTGGTGATGAGATGTTGAGTTGGATCCGAGAAGTGAAGATGGGAACACTGCTTTGAACGTTCTCTCGCTCGATATCAATTTATATCTTACACTCTATAACATAGGTTCCCAAAGTGGTCCAGGTGAACCCCCAGGGGTCCATAGGAGACCACACGGGGGTTCACGAAAAATTTTCTGGTTTTCATAATAAAGAACAAAAAGTTTGGCTTGAATTTACCTATCAACGTAAGCAGGTTGCATCATTCACTAGGTAGGTACTCAAAAATATTTGAGACTCAGTTCAAACACAGAATTGAATAGAACAATAGATAATAGTACACCACATGTCGAGACTTGCAAAGTGCCGCCCGTGCGCCAGCTTGCATTTAAATACCCTGCATGATGACTTCAGAAATAGATTTGAAGATATTCTGACGATGGAAATACCACCATGGATCATAACCCCATTTGATGAAACGGAAGAGGCGAATGTGGTATTACAAGNATGGTCTCTTGCGGTATTTCCTGCCAAATTCGATCCAATTGTCGAACGAGGTCGTCAACATTCCGTGCCAGATGCAATCGCCTTCCCATCATATCCCAGACATGCTCGATGGGAGAGAGATCTGGTGATCAGACAGGCCAAGGAAGAGTTTGACAAGGTTTCAGACAGTTCATAGCAACACGTGCCGTATGTGGTCTGGCATTGTCCTGCTGAAAAACCAGTCCCGGACGCTGCAAAGGGAACGGTAGCAAAACAGGTCTTAGGATGTCGTCGACGTACCGCTGTGCAGTAAGTGTACCTCTAATGAAGACCAAAGGAGTCTGGCTGTCAAAGGAAATGGCACCCCAGACGATAATGCCTAGTTGAGGGCCGGTATGGTGTGTAATAGTGAAGGCAGGACCCCCCCCCCTGCTCTGTGCGTCTCCAAACACGTCTTCGATGATCGTCAGGACACAGTTGGAAGCGGGATTCGTCGCTAAAGACTATACGTCCCCAGTCTGCATCATTCCATCCATATCTGTTCAAAACATTCATGCATACGAAATTTCAAAGCAATCGGATGATTGCTTCTTGGTGCGTCAATTTTTTTGTTTTAGAGTGTATTTGGTGTTTTCCCTGAATGTTATGTTTGTTTGTATTTTTGTGTGTTGCGGAAATGAAAAGATTTAATAAAGAATAGATTTCCAATCCTGGAATATTTCTTTGCCACACACTACAACCCTTTTGAGAGTGTGATCTCTGTCCCGAACGCACTTCCTTTTTATATTTATCTTCAAGGTTGTTTTCCTCTTTAACCGCTGCCTTTTCGTTCCCGTGATATTAACGGGCTGGAGTGTTCAGTAGTAATGCGCCAATAAGAATAAAACTAATTCATTTCTTTTGCCCGGAAGACATTTTATTTCTCATTTTTCACACCATATAGCAGTACCAGGATATTTTTAAGGTAATTGTAAATAGTTAGTTTATTTTAAACTAGATACTAGCACTAATCAAATTATGTGTATTTGGCAAAATAGACACTTCTATGATCGTTTTCTTGAAAATTATCCGATCGTTAAGGGGCTAGACATGACTCTGTCTTCTTCATCTTGTTTGAACAGGTGTTTTCTTGAACGCGCGATGTGATCCGTTGGTTATTTTTAAATTTTATGATCTTTAAATTTTATGATTGTCTGGGATGAACAAGTGTCATTCGGTTATAAATAATTGATATCAGTAATTAATTTCGTAATTAAATTTGTTCAATTATTTAAATAAATAGATTTTTTTTAAATACTGAAAAGCCTGCTTAAACATTCCTCCCTCCTATCCTTTATGTTTGTGTTGCATGGTAGGATGGTGGATAGTACATGAGAATATAGAGCTAGGGATGCATCCATCCCTCCTGTCCTTCAGGGTAGAAAGGTGGATGAATAGAGGGCCCTGCCTCATCACCTCATCCCATTTCCCCCCTCTATGTATCCCTATGTAATATAAGCTGTGTGTGAATATATATATATATATATTCAATCCGAAATCGTGAAAGTTTAAAAGATTGTTCGCTCAAGAAACTATGGTCTTCCTTTCATTTTTTTAAGTCACCATATTTTATGTTTTAATTACATATGACTGTAAGTAAGAATTTTGTTGCTAATTCAGATTTGTAGCAGAAAAATTAATTTATCATTACGGTACATTTGTCACTTTTTTTTCCTTCAGTTTGGTTAAAATGAAATTGATTTAATATTTTTAATATATTACCCAGATGAAAAATTTAAATCACTCATTTGAGTCTTTACTTTATCGCTCACAACTTGCGTCGATTAAATCTTAAATATATGTAGCGTTTTGATTACTTTTTTTTGGTAATTATTGCTACGAATTGTAACTTTTTTTAAAAAAAATCTCGATGTCTTTTACTTCTCAGTTATTACTATAAATATTCTTGTGATTTTTTTTTATTTATTTTTCAATACCGATATTATTACAGCACGCGATTGGCAAAGTTAAAATCGCGCATTGAAGAAATCACTCTTTGACGCACTTGGTTTGCACCGATATCATCGATAATCCATGAGGTATTTCAATCGTTTGTTCGACGGTTATTGTCTCGCAGTGGAGGACTGATCGTTAGATCCTAGTGGAACACCGAAATCAAGCATCACTGGTTGCAGTCAGTGTGTGAGCAGGAGACCACTTTGATCAGCCTGCAAAGGGACTGAGGGTGTATGGTATCAATCCTTGTTAAACTCTGAAGTGCTACCGTAAAGTGCTCGACTTCGTGCGGGTCGTCGGACTACCGAAGCAGGAGAGTCGTCCCCTCTGCAGAGGATCAAAATTGTGATGGCATGTCTTCAGATCATTTCCCAGGGATGTTTCCCAGACTGTAATCAACAACACATTTTTTTAAAATTAATATTGATAATTTTTTATGCAATTTTATTACCCGCAAAATTCAAGTCGCGCATTTTGATTATTTACTTTTAATGTGACGATTTCTTCTTCTTCTTTTTTTTTAAAAACTTTTTAGCAGTTTTTGCTTGTGCTACTGATTTTCACATTGTTGGTATTTCTCCACGCATTTAAATAATCAGTTTTTGACACGCTCAATTTATGCCAGTAATATTGTAAATCTATGTAGTGTTTCGAATGCTTTTTCTGCAGTTATTGATAATTCTTTTTACGTGGTTTGTAAATATCCCGATGCATTTTAGACAATGAGGGAAATTCTGATCTCGCATTTGAATATTTACTTTTTGATGCAATGATTCTATCGGTTTTTCGTTCAGTCATTGCTATGGATTTCCACCTAGTTTTTAAAATCCATCTTTTTTATTGCAATTTTATTTAGGACTACAACCGAATTACGAAACGCAACAAACATTTGAGTAATTTCTTTTTACAGAGTTCGATTCTCTTGATTTCGACTTCTATCTTTTTTTTTCAGTAATAACTATCGAAGGATTTCACAGTCTTTAATTATTTTGGTTTTATGTAATTAGGATTTACAAAATTCAAAAAAGGAAATTATCAGTGCTTTTTTCTGCCTCCAGGAAGCGAGAATATTGCCCATAGTATTAAAATTAAGAAAAAAAGAAATACATTAACAATTAAAACAATTATATACAGTAATACGAGTAGGTGGTTTTTTTAAAAAATTTTTTCATTGTAAACACAATGCTTCTGTTACTTGAAATTAGTAATTGTTATTATTAAAAGTATCTTGCAAAAAGATATAAGTGCTTGGGAAGTATGTCATAGAAAGCCCAAAAAAATTCTTCAACGGGGTTTTATCTATGTAATAGTATTTGTTTTTTTAATTCAACTTTTAATTCTTTGTACAATGAGCAATTTATACAGTGAGCAATTCACAATAAATATATTGATTTTTGTTTTTAGTATGTGTGCATGGATGATTGATCAATTTGGAAATGAAGAGCAGAAGCAAAGATTTTTGCCACCACTTGCAACTATGGAGAAGTTTGCCTCTTACTGTTTAACTGAGCCTAGTATGTTTAAAAATGCCTTATAATAACCTTTTATGTCTACTTTTTATTAGCCTTTGAATATATCCATTTCATCATTTGATAAGTTAAAAAAAAAATTCATGAATTTCTTGATCTACATGAAACATACTGAAATTATTAGCCTTAGTATTTGTAAAAGGATTTAATAAAGATGTAAATTAATACTTTTTATCTATATAACCGTCGATGAACAACTGCCAATGTTGAACACCGTAGCCTTGTAAATTTTAAACACAGTCCAGATGACGAGGGAACTCCTGGATCAAGTATTAGGAGAAATTTGCCTTGATGGAGGACTTTTTGATGGAACTAACCTACATTTGCATTACATGGAGAGGAAAAGTATGAATTCCTCCCACCGTTAGCCTAACGTGCAAGGGGATTCGATCTCAAAAAAGTGAAATGCAGAGGGCATATTGATGCGCAAAGAGAAAATGTGACATCACCTTAAGGAGGAACAACACTGCAAAATCCTTTAAAAAAGGATTTTTTGAAGGATATTTGCAACGTTTGGGTTAAATTTAATAATTTTTTTTATCAAGTTGTACATATTTTCATCTTCAATTTATCATGTTACAAATATAACATCTTTTAAAAATAAGCACTTATGTAATACAATATATATAACTTATTTCTTAAAAGTGTCCATAACTTGCTGTACTCATAAGTTGAATTGCAATATTAACGCTTGAAATTAGTATTAACCCTTTCATTGCCATCTATTTTGGTGAAATTTGTTTAAAAATCAATGCTTTTTTAAATAATGTTTTAATTTATAAAAATTCTATGTTAATTGTTATAAATACAAACAATCGAATGAACAGTCCTGTTGTCAGAGAAAGATATTCTTATATCAATCTTATTAACTTGCTGGTAAAGATTGGGAATTTTAACCATATATATATTTTTTTTTAAGTGTAATACTAAAAAAATTTCCTTGATGTTGGAAAATATTGACTCTTCCATTATATAGGGAAAATGTGACCATTTTTTTGTTTTTTGATGAGTGATTTTAAAACATTTTCCGAGATGGTGACAAAGATTCTACTTACTGCATTTACATGCTCGTGCATATTATACATATCTGGCGTAAAGCGTCACCTTTATTAATTACCATTGTTTTATTCAAGAGAGAAGATGAACAGAGGAGGAATTTAATTGACGACTAACGAAAATGTAGGTGTATAGAAAGAAATTTCTTTTGAACAATTTTTTTCTCAAATAACAATAAAGAGCTACTCCCTAAGCAATCAAAATGTTGAGTCTCATCCTTGAAAACATCATTTTTAATTTAGTTATTTTTAATTGTTTTAAAATAAAATTAGAAAAATTATCTTATATAAACTAAAAATAATGAAGAAAACATCTTTCAAAATTTAAAGAAATTATTTTAAAAGTACATCACTCTCTTCAGGAAAACATTGATTAACAAAAAGAAAGACATTGATTATCGAAACTTACATAATTATAATCTAAGATTGCATAAATCCATTTTTTTCAATTCACATTTCCAAATGAAGATTTTGTTGAAAATAACAAAAACTCTAGACATAGTAATTTCGTTGAATTTCACGCATAACATTTTCTCTTATTTTCACTCATAAAAACGTTTTTTTTTTTTTTAAAGAGCTTTGTATTATTTTGGTTGTGGTGATTATAAACACTTTAAAGTTTAAAATTAGAGATAAGTTATTTATTTTCCATCCTTTTATCCACTTTTCTTATATTTTTAAATGAGAATTTTGTTATCAATAAGAATAGAAAGTCTGAACGAATTTTGTTAAAATCATTTTAATTTCTCATTTTTTTTAATATTTATTACTTGTTATTTCTCAGAATATGTATCCAGAGCTAAAGTGCACTATAATTTTTTAAAATCTTTATTATCTTTACAAATACTTAGATAGTGGAAGTGATGCAGCTTCTTTGAGTACTACTGCTAAGAAAGATGGGGATTATTATATTTTGAATGGGAGCAAAGCATTTATTAGTGGAGCAGGAGATAGTGATACTTACGTGCTTATGGCAAGAACTGGAGGAAAAGGACCTAAAGGCATTTCATGTATAGTTATTGAAAAAGGCACTCCTGGATTAAGTTTTGGAAAGAAGGAAAGGAAGGTTGTTATATTTATCTTTATCTTATGGTTAGAAAAATATTAATTACTTTTAGTTTGTATTTGCTCATTATGATGTATAATTTATGCTATTAACGTTTTTGTATTGATAATTATAGAGAATTTTTAGATGTTTTCTCTTAAAAAATATCTAGTCATGGAGTTCTTAAATTTTTTTTTTTTTAGAAAAAGGTTTAAAGATTTTCTTGAAAATTTTAAGTGAGTCCAAATGTAACTTCACCCCAAAACTGGGAATTTGACACCCTATCAAATTGCCGGATTTCACTCTTCCATTTTCAACTGTAATTTGCGCTTGCGCTAAAGGGGATTGAATAAATCAGTTTTTTTTATCCAGACTGACCATCATTAAGTGCATCCTCAAGATTATATTCTTAAATGTTTCTGGAGTGTTGTCAATTTCATGTTTGAGTTAGGAACTTGAAACTTCTGCCTTGATAGTATTGACATGTTAGTTTTTTTTTTAATTCACTTTTGTTTCAGAATTTTCATTGTTCTTGATTTATTATGACAAATTATTGTTTTATTATTTTTGATCATGCATTAACTATTAAAAACAAAATATTTTTTAATTGTCTGCTATGTTTTTATCTATTAAGGAAACTATAATTTTTAATTAAATGAATTTTGATTCCTAAGAGGTGCGGTATCATTTGCAAGTTTTGCCTGAAATGGAATCCCATCTGCTTTTGTTAAAAATCATCTGATTTCATATATAAAAGCAGAAGATAGTATATACTTAAACATACAATTATCTATTAATAAATTAAGATTATTTTATGACTCGGATTGCAGCTTTCTTTTACAAGTGATACATTTCTGATTCTCTTACGTTTTAAGGTCTTTTTTTCATGTTTTTTTCATGCACAATAAATTTTGTACTAATAAATTAGTTTTTTTTATTCATAAGTTTCAAGATAAGACTTTTTTTAAAAATTCAATCATCATGCCTTGTTCAGGGTTTTAATTTTTATGTTAGCACTTCTTTTTATTATGTTTCCATTTCATTAATTTTAAGTGTTTTTATTTCATTTGATTAATTTTCCTTGTGTTTTATCATTTTTTCTTTTTCGAATAGCTAAGTATGAAATATATTGCTTTTTTTATCACTAATTTTGTTTTATATTAGTTACTTTGGTAATTATGATAAATCTTTAGTTTATTATAATTTGATTTTATTTAGTTTATTATAATTTAGCTTAACTTCAATTAAATGAATAACTTCAAATAATTAATTATTTGTTAGTTTCTTTTTGTGTTGGTTTAGTATTTATCATTAAAATAAGTTTTTTCTAAATATTTATTTTATTAATTTTGTGGTTTTATCATCGTAATTTATATTTTCTTTCTGTTTATCCATCTTATTTATAATTCATTTTTTTAGGAAGAAAATCTTAGCATGTTGCCTTTTGATAGTTTTTCTCCCCACTTTTTTCCTTTCTATTTGTAAAAATCTTTGTCAATTGATAAAATTGATTTAATTTCAATTAAATATAGGTTATTTACATAATATTTTTATTTAGTTTTTGATTATTTTTTAAGGATGATTTAGTTGTTGAAAAGTTTTTATTTTTATTTTATTGATTAACAAATTCTACTTATATTTTTTGTTTCTTACATATTTATTTGATATGTTAGCAAAATTTATCTAGTGCTTGCCTGTTGATAAAAAGCATTATTTTTTAGTTATAAACTATTTGACTTAATTTAATGAATATGGATTAATTTTAATTAAATGTGGATTGTTTATTTATTTGCTGGCTTGTTTTCAGGATTGTTTGATAATTGATGTTAAATATATGCTTTTTTAAAAATTATTTTCTTTTTAAATTAGTATCTCTCAATTAAGTTTTGCAATCTTATTATTAGTGCTTATCTTTTCTGTAGTTTCAAGTAGCCTCAAACTCAAGTGTACCCCTTGGCCACAAAATTCCAGTTCAACTGTGTATGAAACTTATTTTGTTGAGTTATTTTAGACTGCAATATTGATTTAGGTTTTTTTTATGTTGTTAATAACCAAAAATGTATTTTGGTGTATTTTTTTTGTAATTACTGTTTTTGAATTATTTTGAAACTATAGCTTGGATGGAACTCTCAACCTACTCGAGCGGTAATTATGGAAGATTGCAAAGTACCAATTTCAAACAGAATAGGTGAAGAAGGGCAGGGTTTTAATATGGCTATGCATGGATTAAATGGTGGTCGTATCAATATTGGTAAATGATAAAATTTATATTAAAATAAGTATTTGAAATCATTTATTGTTTTAGTATATCTGGTCATCTTAATTGTTTCTTTATGCCGGTCAATATGCTTTTTTCTGGAGGCACACAAATAAAATTAAGTATCATAAATTGGCCATTATGTCTCAAGATCAGTTGTATAACTGAATGTTTTAATTTATTTTTGTTTACTATTTGCTCTGCATTGCATACGTGTCAAAACTATTTTATTTTCCAGGTAGACTTTTGAGGTTTTATGTAATAATATTTTTTGAGAAAGTTCTAACTTCATAATAAAAATAAATGTTCATGTTTTAGTAAATGGTATTTTAATCAAAAGTCATAGTAGGCAAAATTACTAGAAATGAAAATTAAGTTATGTTCCTAAAATAATAAAATTTTGAATATTTTGCTCACTGAAAATTTTAATTAGGTTGAAATGCGTGCCATACTATTGAGCATTATAATAAAATAGCATAAATTCAAATGAAATTGAGTTTTTCTTCGATTCTTGTACTTTTTTTAAACTGTAACATAATTCACTTTATTATCAATCAGTATAATCTGTGAATTGTATTCTATATTATGGTAAAATTAACAAATAATGTTATTTGATTGATGATAATATCCGATTTCCAGCATCTTGTTCACTTGGAGCTGCTCAGGCGAGTTTAGAAATAGCTTGTGATTATCTCAAAACAAGAAAACAGTTTGGAAAATCTCTTTCAGAATTTCAGGTTTGTAACTTTGCCCTTTTTTTAAAAAAATAATTAGCTTTTATTTCTGAAGAGAATATTTTATTTATTTTAAGAACTCTCTTTTTTTGTTCTGTGATGTTATACAAAAATATTTTTTTCATACCAAAAATTAAATTAGAAAGATTTGCGGTCTGCTGTCAACTACATGTTTGACAAATAATTAAATGCAATAACAAATAATTAATGACAAATAAGTATTTGAGTTCTTTTCACCTTTATTGAATATTTTTTTCTTTCAATTTTCATAAGCTCTACTTTTAAATTATTTAAAAGACAGTCCTATGTATAATATATTTTGTAATCCTATGTTATACATTTTGTCTAAACCACAGTTAGCAGCTTTTGACCATGAAGAATGCTTGTATGTTAACTGCTTTTTAAATGTTTTTTAGTTAATTAATGATCCATTTAGTTAAAAGAAAATTTTAAAAAAACATTCAGTGCTTTAAATCAATGAAATATGAAAATTTTAAAGAATGATTTATATTTTGTTTGTGTCTATAAATTTGTAAGGTCTTATGTATTAAAAAATTGGATTGTTACTTATAATGATCAAATTAAATGCAAAATATCATTTATCAATTGCAAATACATAGACAGTAAAAGCTAAGTATATAGAAGTGGCTTTTTATTAAAAGTTAGCTATTAATTTTCAAGTTACCATTGAAATGCTAATATTAAAGATACTAACATTATATGTTTATAACAAGTTAAAAATACTAGCCTTCAACTAACACAAAATTTTTATTTTTTTTAGAAATACATTTTTCTGCTGTTTATGCAGGCAATATTATCTGAATAAGGCTTAAATTGAAGAAATTTTAATTTAGCTCTGGTATTAATACAGAGGAGCAAAAAACAAACATTGTTTCATTCTTACTATTTAAACCCTATACTTTTATAAATCAATGTGTGGGAGAAAACAAGCTAAGTTCAAGCTTTCCTGCCATAGAAATTTTTGCCTTTCCTGAAGTACAGATCCTCATAATTAAGTCTACAGTCAGTTGACAGAACCAATCCAATCTATATATGTATTTTGAATCTAATGATAAATATGTCAGTTTCATTTTTAGTCTCATAATTTGTATTTTAACATTAAATATGTTAATTTATTAACAACAAGCTTACTATGATGACAATTTCATTATGCTATTATGATTTTAATTATAACAGACTTTACTGCTTTTTTAATTTACAGCATAACAGCTTTCTTCTTGCTCAGATGTCTTCTGACATAGTTGCAGCTCGTTTGCTGGTTCGAAATGCAGCAGTTGCTCTTGAGAACAAAGCACCTGAAGCAGTATCACTATGTGCCTCTGCAAAATATTTTACTACAGAAAATTGTTTTACGGTAAATTTTTAAATTTTTCAGAGCCTTAAAGTAAAATTAACTTGTAATGTGTAACCTATTTGATATTGTCTCAGGACAACTTCTCTGCTGACTTAGATGGTTTTCTTAATTATTTAGGAATGAGTTGTTGATGGGTGTCTTATGTAACTAATATAATATATGTATATAATATACAAGTAAAAATTACGCTTTGGAATAACTTTTTTCTGTTGCATAAGATTTATAAACAGATCGTAGGATATTTTTGTGTTGCTTATTTCCAATTAGCAATCAGTTTCTCTCAACAAGCTACAGCTTTTATGTAATTTGATAAAATATTTGATAAATAATGATTTGATAAAACCAGGATTCTTTAAAATTCACTCAAGTGAATACTAAGTGTCCCCTACTTTTCTGCTACAAGGAGAGTGGCGGTTTTTCTCTCTCAAAGGAATATACAAATGTATGTTCTTTATAAACCTATATGCTCTTTGTAAACCTATATGTTCTTTATAAAATTGTGCATTTAAGCTAAAAATAAAATATCATAATTTAAAAAAATTAGCTAAGATCAAGCACTTGTATAAATTCAACAAAAGATTTGTTCCTCTGTTTCAATCTTTGCTCCCATATTATTAAACATAAAGCTCTAATATATATATACAGGGTGATTCTAAAAAGATACGCAAAATTTTAGAAAGTGATAGTACACACCCGAGCTAACAATTTTTATCAAAGAATGCATGGTCGAAAACAAAACGCAAAACCGCTAGAGACGTCAAAGTTTATGTACTTATATGAGGCAAAAACACACAAAGAGCGATGAAGTTAAGTTATAAAAGCAAATATAATGGCATGTGATTACAATAAGTGTTCAAAACAGTGGCCGACAGCTACTATGCACGTAGTACAACGGCGAAGAAAAGATAGGCGAACATTCTGAAACACACCAGGCATATCACGAATATTCCCTGCAGCGGCCGAAAGCTTGGCGACAAGTAACGCAGCACAGTAACTCGCAACAGGAATGGAGCTTTCACGTTTGCATCAAACAACTTTCCAAATGCGCCAGCACCTTTGCGTTTTGTTTTCGACCATGCATTCTTTGATAAAAAAATTTTTGCTTGGGTGTGTACTATCACTTCCTAAAATTTTGCCCATCTTTTTAGAATCAATATATATACACACACACACACACACACACACACATATATATATATAACTCTAATAACCACTTGTTACAGCAATTATGTTATTGATTTATGTCCCAGAGATATCTTTTATGATATACAAGTTACCATCAGAATATACTAGTTATACATAAAATACTTGTATGTAAAAGATATTATTTGTATAAGTATTATAACTTGAGAAAAACAAAGATTAAAACTTGTTACATACATCTGAAATACTGATAGACAGAACATTGCAATTTTGAAAGGTGAATTACATCAACAAATTTGAATTATGTGACAACTCTTGTTAAAGTACCTAATTGAGAGCAGAGATATACAGATCAAAAGTTATACCCTAGAAAGCAAAATAACCACAATACATAATTTTTTACCTTTATATATGTTTTCCTCGTATGTGAGATTCTGAAAAATAAACTGAATAACTTTTGATATCTTATAAAATTTCCTCTGTGAAGTTGAAATAATCTGGATTTTAGGGAGATGTAATATAAAAATGCTTATATATGCTTGTATATATGCATTATATGTGTGTGTGTGAAACTCCCCAGTTTAAAAATAGTCTAAAAACACTTAAGGTGTTAATAATTGACATGGAGATGGATTTTTTTACCCTTATCTTTCATGAACAATACCATTAGCATTTCTAATTAGTTTTGAAATATTTTTGTTAATAATTATTTCTAGAAAAAGTGTTTTTGTTATTTTTTTTCTTTTATTAGGTTCTCATTTTATAGTCTCGATATAGGGGAATGTGTGTAGCTTGGGGAAATTGTGTGTTGCTAATATTTCAGAAGTCCCCAGTTCCTTGGTATGGATACATAGACCCCGTTCTCACTTAAAAAAACATATAATTATATACACACCGTTAGCTAAAGAAATGCAATACTTTCATGTATTATTCATGAAGCATTTCCGGTCTTTTTTCATGTTTACTACTTTAGAAAGAGGAAAAAATAAAATAAAAGTATTTAAATTAAACATAAATATGTTAATTATAAATAACTAACATAGTAAAAAATTACTTTAGTTATTTTTTCGTCGAACTTATTGCAGTTTTACTTGGAATAATTTTATTTACTTCTAAATATTACATAAAATTAGTAATTCATTAATTATGAACTGATTCTAATTTAAGTACTTAAAATAAATTTAATTTCATTAACTAAACTTAATTTTAATACATTTATTGTTAAAGATTATCTGAAATAATATTTAATTAATATTTCATTAAGCATGCTCTGATACCATCCTAGAACATAATCATAATATCGATGTGATGCTTGAAAGGGCAAACACTTTTAAATTTTACTTATGTGTTTGAACTCATAAGTGTAATGAAAAAAAATTCAATTTCAATTCTTTAAATTTGTTTTAAATTTTTATTTAGGATAATTTTGTGTCTTTTACCTTACTGGTGTTATTAACACCTAGTTATTAACATTTCAATTGAATTGTATGACAGTTTCGTATTTATTTAAGTGCAATACATTTCATTATAGATAGTCAATAAAGCATTGCAAATGCATGGTGGCTATGGTTATTTGAAAGATTATCCTGTGCAACAATATTTGAGAGATATAAGAGTTCATCAAATATTGGAAGGTAAATTTAACTAACATGTTTGTTAATAAGCTGTGTGATTAATTTTTTAAAATTAAATTTTTAATTATTTCGTGTAGTAAGATAAAAAATTTTTTGTTAGTTTTGCATTTCTTTTAAAATTATTTTGTTGCTACATTATTTTTTCGTTTAGCTTATAAATTTTCATAATATCAATTATTTCTATTAAAATGAGTATGGGAATTTAAGGAACCATGTTTTCATTAATCACACATGTTTTTATAATCATAATGTTTACTAATTTTGCATACTCAAAACTTTATCTTGAAATGATGTTAAAACATTATTTTAAATGAGGCAAAAGCATTTGTCAGGACAATCACATTAAAAATTATTAAAAATATGAGTGTTTTAAGATAGATAAAAAATTTAAGGGGAAAATTAATTTTTTTTAATTTATTGAATCTGATGAAATAGTTAATGACCGACTTGGATCATAATGATTTACTTGGATCATTTTTTGGAGAAAGTGTTTTTTTTTTCAAAACAATTTTTAAAGTGGGATATACTGTATTTTTTAAAATATTTTTTAATAATATTTTAATCCCTCTCTCACACTCAATTTTTTTAAATATACAAATTTTGAATTTTATTTTTAAAGGTACCAGTGAAGTTATGTTACTCTTGTTGTCTCGTGATTTGCTAGGGGTAACTAAATAGTGAGTATTTATGCCTTTTTAACCCCTTCAGTGCCTTTTGGTACTGTTTGCTTTGTCTATATTTGTCTTCTTGCTTCTCACTTTTTCTAAGTGTTTATTTTCTGTGGAATAGGGAGGTAAAATTCTGCAAGGAGCTTAAAAAACAGAAGAATGACTGGTGATTATTGTCCATCTTCTAAAATGCAGATGAAACTGACTGATAAATTTTTTTAATAAAATAAGCCGCAGGGATATTTTTTGCGAAATTTATTTAAAAATCTATATTATCTGTTTCTGTATGATCTCTATGTGATCTGTTTCTGTAAATCTACATGATCTGTTTTATTTTATTTTGTTTAAAGTTTTTTTGAGATGATTTTATAATTTTCTTGAAGCAGCGTGCCTTATCACTAACTAGGACAAAATAGTTTATATCTTATTTCAATTTGTAGATGAAGCTAGAAATTTAAAAATTAATTTTAGTATTTAATAGTTTTTAGCATAATATTTAAATAAAGATAAATTTTTTAAAAATATTCTTTATATCTCAAATAATCACTCAGCAAAAAAAGAAAAAAAAAAAACTTTGGGAAAACATGTTTTTATTTTTTAAAAAGACTAAAAATCTAATGGTTTAAGTGAATAGCTATGATAATGACTGAAACAAACTATTGTGTGTGCTAGAACAGTAATAAGAGAGTTCTTCAAATTTAATTATCAGTAATTGTTTTAAAAATATTACTGTGTTTAATTCAAACGTTTTGATTAAATTAGAGCGTTTAAGAATATTTCATTAACTTTAGTAGAGTATCACAGTAAAAAATATATTATGATTCTTTTTTTTAAATTTATTTTTCAAGTAAATAACCCATTCTGTAATATACTCTACAATAATGCTTTTAATCATTGGTTCTATTTTCTCTTTTATTATGCAAAAAAATGTGTTATAAGTTCAATTTTGAATTTTATTTACTGAGGAAATAATTTTTTTTCCATTTTATTGTGAAACTTTTTTGCTGTAAGTGAGTTAATCATAGCTTTTCGATAGGCATATTGCACTAAAGATATGTAGTGCTGCTTGAATTTATTTAATAAAACAAACTTTTATAACTTTGATAAATATTTTTTTTTGTATCACTTTTCTATATCAGTCATATGAATTGTTTAGTCTTTTTAACTGCTTCCTACTAATATTATTAATAATAATGATAAGTGTCCCAAAATTCGTGCAAAATTTGGATTTGGCACCATTTTTGTGATGAAATTCTGACGATCAAGAAAAAAACACCTTACAGTTTAGGATTATCAAAAATTGAGCACTTCATTAAAAAAATAATGTATTTTCATTGTTTGAACAATATTGAGTTATTCCCTAGTTTGGTTATCTTCTGTTTTGATGATTAGAATTGCATGTTCCAGATTATGCAATTTAATGCTGTAAGATCTCTCTCTCTCTTTTTTTTTTTTTAAGGATTATGTCAATAAGCCCACAATCACCCATGTCTTAAATTAGAAAACTAAGTTTTTTTTCCACCAAAATTTAGCTATATTTATCAGAACCATATTTGAGAATTTCAATTTGATGTAAGAGTGTATTTGTTCTAGCAAAATTGGGAATATTATTTATGGGATATCTTATTCCATACTAAACCCTATACTACTATATACTTTATGAGTCAATAAACAAAATGTTACATTTATTTAATTAAAAATCTGTGTTTTCATCCAAATTACATTTTTTCGAATTTTAGTTGACCCTTTAATAACGAATCACTGTCATGCATATAATAAACAAACTTTTTATTTCAAACTTCTTTAGGAAAAGAAAATGCTGATTTTTTAAATGGAAAAGATTTATTTACATTTCATGGAAAAAAATTATACTCTATTGCTTTTCGAGAGAATTAAAAAAATCTAAGTATTTTGCTGCTGTCAGATCTGAAAAAACTCTTCAAATCAATGTGCTTGTATAAAAACATTTGTATTTGTTATTATTTCATGTTTTGAGAAAAAGTGTTTTGAAAAAAAAAGTGTTAATAATCTCAAAATATATAATACTAACAAAATACATATAGAGATAAAATAATTCATTTGTTTAAAATGCATAAAGTGGTCCATAAGTCCAGATAATAAAATATTGCACGGAAATTAAAAGAATGAGTTGTGTTTAGCTTTATATCATTTTGTAAAGCAATTACATAAATAAGCCTTACTAACAACAAAGAATATTTTTGCTGATATTAATTTGAAATAGCTTATCAGCTAAACTCGAATAAACTTGCTTTTATCACATTTTATATATTTTGTCATTATAAAAATGCAAAATATTTGCAGATTTTTTTTTTTTTTTTTTTTTTTTTTNATATTTGCAGATTTTTTTTTTGCATAAAAATTTTATTAATGAAGTGCAAATATCTTAAACATTAATTTTCTTTTTACTGTAACTGCAGAAAATATCCCTTTCATATTTTGATGTTATATGAAATACCATAGCCCAAGCACTATCCCTTGAATTTTGACTTTAAGTCAGAGTCATGTTATTCTTTATTCCTTTATTCCTCACGTTATAGCACAAATTTCAAAATTATATATCTTTTAAAAATTCTTGCTTCTTTATGATCGAAAAATTTGTTTTGAAGAGTTGATAAAATTGTGTGTAATATCTATTTGTTATGTAAGAAGAAATTAAATTCTTTTTATAATTTCGCTTTACTTTTTACAAGTATCTTTGAAATACGAATACATATTTTTGAGCAACTTATGGTTTTCTGAAGTAGATGTAAATGTATACATACCAGAATGTTTTCATTTATTTTTGAAATTTCTAATTTTTAAGATAATAAAAGTATTTTTAAAAAAGCAAAAAATATTATTAATTTTAATAATTAAAGTATAGACTATATTTTTCATTATTTGAATATATTATGCGAACATTGGATATCTTTTCCTACTGATTTATATTTTTATACATATTTCGAAGTATTTTTCAGTTGCTTTTATCAATTTTTCATAAGATTATTATCGTTCATTATTAATTATTCATTGTTTATTTTCTGTCTTTTTATTTCAATGTATTCTCTTCTTTTAGGATGTTACACCTTCCTTTTTATACTAAGTTTTGTGAATGTATGTTTTTCTATCAACATAAGTTGTTCATTTTCGTTCTTTTAATGTATGTAATTAATGTAACTCATTAGTTAAGTTGTATTAACTCTGGATACCCAATAAATACTTATTTTTACAAGCTTTGTTGTACATAATTTTCACAGAAAAGTTGCTGTAATAGTGTTTAAATATTGAATTTAATTTTATTTCTATGAGACTAGTCACAAACATTTGGTTTACATTCCCCCCCCCCTTGATTTGAAGTTAAACTAAACTTTCATAATATTAAAAAAACTGGACATTTTTCAAATTGGTTGAAACTGCTTTTGAAGCTTGAAAAAAATTGGTATATTTCTTGACTCTTCTATCCACAACTTCTTTTCTTTCCTTCAACTTCTTTTCTTTTTCTTTATTTCTTTAATTTTGTTAAATTTTAGCCAGAATTTGAAAAGAAAATGTAAGTGAAAAGTTTAAAAGTAGCAGCTTTGTCTTATAAGCAATCACCCTATGAAAGAAGGAAAAATATTCATGATTTTTCCTTATTTTGATTCAATATAGTTTTCCTAATTTAATTATAAAATGCTATGTTTCCTTTTATGTCTTCTACTAATTTATTCTTAATTTATTAAAGAGATTTGAATAATATATTATATTTAACGAATTTCATTTTTTATAAAAACATGTTTCTGATTAAAAGTGGTTATAAATCTGTTTTTTTCTTAAAATATTTTTTAATTTTAGCTTTTAGTTGATTCATTTGGTAATTGATACAATTTCAATAATATACTTGCGTATCATAGATGTGGAATAATATATTTATAAATTTCTTCAATACATATTTTGTAATTAAGCAAAAACAACTTAACTGAAGATATTAATTTAATGAAAGGTATTGTCTTTTATTATTATATTAATTCTCTTATATTAATATAATAAAGGTACCAACTATTGTGACATCAACAATGATTATCTGAAATAGTTGATGTTTTAAAAATCACTACAAAGAGCATGGAGGTACCAGACATATAGAACTGTCGAATTCGTAGTCAAAATTTTTAAGAATCTTAAAATATTTCTATCTGCTATATCACCTTAACGTCATAATTTTAAAATTGAATTACCTGGCTATGTTTGATTCACAGAACTATTCAACCAATTATTTCATTATATTTTTACATTTCTCAAATTCTCATTTATTATGCTACCCGTAGATTCCCCCCCCGCCCCCGATAATATACTAATCTATTTCGTTTTATTTTCATTAGTACTTATAGTTTTCCTTTAACGTAACACTCGTTCTTGATAATTGTCTTTTTTTTCCTTTTCAAATCTCAGAACTATCGAAAGTTAGCTGAGAAAAATTTAAGAACATTTTGTGTTATATTAAAATTACTAGGTGTAAATTGTCTGACTGATCGTATTAATTATGCTCACCCTTTTTCTTGAAATTATTTATGTATTAAAAATATCTATATTTTATTGTTTCTTATTTGTTTGATTTGTGAATTGTAAGCACATAGTAATGCAACTCAAAAATCTACAACTGTTTGCTTTGTTTTTTAAATGAACAAATTCGAACCACAATTCTATTTTGACATTTTTTATTCAACTGTTAACTTTAAGAAAGCTTTTCTTTAAAAATGATGATATTGAAAAAATATCATTTTAATTTTAACATTTTAATTTAACAAAATTTATTTTAACGACTCAAAGAAGTTGTAAAAATTATTATCAACTTTACTACAATTCACAAGATATTATTTTAGTATAATTTTTTTATCAGGAAAATGCCTTATTTTGTTCAATAGCAAATACTGAAAATGGAAAATTGTAAGAAGATTCCAAAGCTGAACTATTTTTAGCATCACTTCCAAAGTCTCTAAATTTTGGGTGTATTTTTTCTATTAAAAAAGGATATGTTAAGACATTTTTAGATTACATGTTATGTTATAGTTGTAATAGGTATTTTCAATTGTTAGTTTTTAACCCTTTCATTGCATATCTCTGGATTTCCTCGTGCAAGGTAGAAGTAGCAAAATTTGCGCAACCTGGCAATCTCTGTGAGGATGCCTTTTTCCAGTCTATTTAATTGTGCAACCCGCTTTTTTCCCATTCATGGTTTCATTTCGTCTTTTCTGTGATGTTTAATTGTTTATTCAAATCTGGGATTACAGATGGAGCTAGTTGACGATATTTCTGAAAAATATTCAAACCGCTTTTTTCAAATTGTGCTGTTTGTTGCTTAGAAAAAAAATTTAAAAATCACAAAGAAACTCAACTTTGGCACTGAGAGGTAGGACTTAGTCTTGAGCCCTGTTTCGAAGTTTATCATACTAAACTTAATTTCTAATAAATGTTTTGTAAGTATTTTGCATAATTTTAATTGTATATAAGTTTTACCTTTGTATTTCATTAAATATATCATAATTCAATCAAGATTAATTATCAAAATTTTACTTTTATATTATTTTTTTTTTTAATTTTCCAGTGCCAACAATCTTCTTTATGACCTTATTCTATATTGAAAAGACAAAACTTGTACAAAAAATGTTTAAATATTTTGACTCTAAAATATATGTAGATTTGAAATATGTTTTAAAAAATACGAAATTTCAAAACCCATTTTGATTAAAAATATAATGCAGTGAGTGGGTTAATATACTTTTTACTGAAATACTTTTTTACACGGATACTTTTTACAGCTATCCGTGGGAGGGTTTCCTTTACATGTAACGAAAAGTTCCATCGAAAAGTCCGGCAATTTTCTCCCAACACTTGATCCACAAGTTCTCTTGTCTTCTGGATTGGGTTCAAAATTGCAAGGTTAGGAATTACATTAGTAGACGTAAGTCCAAAAATTAGGTTGGCTGTTCAACGATGGTTATAAAATAAAATGTGTACCAACAGAAGACACTCTGTCTCCTCTAATTACGAATAGTTCGCCTATTACTCCTGAATTCGGAAACCGCATCGTCCATGGCTCAGGTTAACAAGGGGCGCGTTCGTGGCTTAGGAAGAAGGGTTCAGAAAGAAAAGTTTACTAATCTCCAAATGGACCTAAGCGTGTCAAACCTTTGAGAACCGACTTAGTACAATTTCTTCTCCAAGTAGACCGAGTATTAGAAATGGCTGTTCATCATAAAGTGCAAATTATTGCACTTCAAGAAACCAAACTTAAACCCACCTTCCTATTTAACATAATAAGTTATCACATTTACGTTAAGACAGATCGAATAAGGGTGGTGGTGATTTTGTTTTCTTGATACGGAATGTTAATTATAAAGATATCGATATTTAACTACCTCAAAGTGACATCATAGACTTGGAATTGCAGGGTATTTCAATAAATTGGTATTGTGAACCAATAAATATCATTAATGCTTACTTACCACCTGACGGTAGATAATTCTCTTGGGTGACCTGAATGCAAAAAGTACTGTGTGGGGATGCACTGCCAATAATTAGAATGGTTTAGAATCACTGGAATTTGCCAATGATAGTGCTTTTGAATGATAAATCCCTACTCACTGTTCTTATAGCTATGTTACTAGCAGAGGCGTATCTAGAGAAAATGGCGCCTATGGCAATCCTCCCTATCGGCGCCCCTTCTTAAAATATTNTGCTTTATACCAGTAGTGAATAGGTGGAAGCAGCCACTTTTGTTTGTTCTAGAACGTCTAAAAAGAAATCTTTGTCTGAAAAGAAATACTCTAATTTTTAAAAATCAAATTTGGAATTATTTCAAACTATTATTTCTGATATTATCGAACAAACTTTTTTCGCTGATGATTTGGAAAAAGAGTTGACTTTGTTTTGGAGAAATTATCTAAAACGTTGCCACAGCAGCTATCCCAAGAGGTAATATTAAAAATTACCAACCTAATTTTGCATTTGTCTTATCCTTACTGAAGCCCCTTACTAATAAACGAAACATGTTTTTCAGGGAGCTGCTTTTAAAGGATTAACCGACT